TGTTGTAGGGATAAAGTAAGATTAGTAGATTGTAGTTGTGTTATGATCTTTTGCACAAGCACATGCTCAGGGTTCATTTAAACTTGAGATGTAAATGACTTTTCTTTTTTTGTTGGCTTTGTCTCTATTGGACCTGTCGTCGTGCACCAGCCACACAATTTATAGCCTGTTTTACCGTGTATGTATTATAATAAAACTCCTAGTTCTTAAAGGTTCAGGACGCCCTGGAGTGCTGTTTTTGAGATGTTAATATATTTGTGTGTAGAGCATCAGTTAAGACAACATTAGCTCCTGTCAGCTGTAATGTGGGGTAAACTGGATAATGTTGAGCTTCTGTCTGCTAATTTCAGCTTCCACGTTTACATTTGTTAATTTTTGTGGAGAAATCAAAATCTCCGCAAGCACTCATCTGCAAGTGATGATGTGTAGGTTTCTCATTATTATTCATAGCTGAGCTTTCTTATCCTATGAGAAGAGCCTGCTTCATAATTATTCATGAGCATGTGCTTTCTGATGACAGACTATTATGGACAGACTACAGACCCGCTAAGCTCGACACAGGATTTAGCGGTTGATGAAGGGTTATATGTGTTTGTTTCTATGATCCACGGGGTTTGTTGCATGTGTTTCCCTGTGAGGCTTTATCCGTGCTGCTGTGTTCACACACATTTAAAATCCTCCAGATTACTGGCAGGGCTACTGGTTGGAATAGACCGGGCAGGAGACCTGCTGCACTGCTCCACTGTGTCTGCATTCAGACCTGAGGTTCAGGAGGAGAGAATTCCTCCTTTATAGTGTTTAACATAAATATCTTCTAGATGACAGAACACATTGTCTATCATATATGTAATGGTATTATTTTAACTTTGTTAATAAGCTATAAAATCATGCCTCTCCACACATTTTGTACTGTATTTTAATACATATCTAAAGCTGGTGAGCTCACTGACATGAGCCCTTCTTTCTCCCTTGCTCTGCCAGCCATGCCCACTCCTCTCTGCCTGCAGCTTCACGCCCATCATGGAGCATTTTTGGAAATCAGTCTTGAGGTGGACTTGAACTGAAAGAGGGGGGTTTCAGGACCCTTTAAGCTTTACCATGAAATACATACAGTAAATACTTTCTCCTCTCTTTAATGTGGGTCGGGATTGTGTTTTCACCTCAGGTCAAGTGGATTGTGAATCAATACTTTCCTCCTTCCTAAACGGCAAAACAAAATGGTTCCTCATACTGATATGTGGATTTTGTTCCTTTAATTCTGCTGAGTTAATGTGTGCCCTGAGAGCACCAGGCAAAAGCACCAGCTGCTCTCTTGCTCTCTCTTTAATATCATATAGCTTGTATTTCATTTTAGGTTCCTCTGTGTACAAGGCCGAGAGAGAGAGAGGGAGAGAGGGAGAGAGAGAGAGAGAGAGAGCCTCTGGGGGCTTCAATCTCGCTGTCAAGACCCTGAGCGAGAGGGCTCGCAGAGCATTCTATGCCATAAAATCACGCTTTGGCCAATTACAGTTACCAACTAAAACATGGATTAAATTATATCACGCTATTATCAAACCTATATTACTATATGGGAGTGAAATTTGGGCACCAGTATTAAAATTTGAAAATTGGAATAAAAGTTTAATTGAACGAACACAATTAGAATTTGCTAAAAGCATATTACATATTCACAGAAACACGTCTAACATTGCCTGCAGGGCTGAACTGGGTTTATACCCGCTAAATTTGGAGATTCAGAAACGAGCTGTTCAGTTCTGGCTGCACCTGCATCAGTCGGACCCCCAGTCTGTCCAATATAAAGCCCTTCTGGCTAATGAAAAACCTACAGTGTCTCATCCTCTAAACACACTGGTATCTGAGCTACTGAAACAAGCACAAACCGAACCCGTCCCCAAACAAAACCTTCACAAACAAATTGACAAAACATTAAAATATAACTATGATGAAAAACTGAAAACTGAATTCAACCTCCAGACTAAACTTAAATGCTATTCAGCCCTAAATAGAACCACACAGTTGGCAAATTATTTATCATTAAAACAATTAAAAGAAAAGCACATTCTTTCCAAATATCGCCTCTGTGATCATGACCTAGAAATAGAAAAAGGCAGACATAAAAAATCCTGGACTCCTGAGGAAAAGAGAACATGTAAACAGTGTGACACAAAGCAAATAGAGGATGAGACACACTTCCTTCTGTTCTGCCCCAAATACAGCACGACTAGAGAAATATTTTTCCCCCAATTTGAAACATTGATCAATTCATTTTTTAATTTAAATGACTCAGAAAAACTTTACCATATACTCGGAGAGGACGAATTGACATTTGAACTGGCTGCAAAATATGTATATACCCTACACACCATAAGAAACGGTTAATGTAAATTTGTGTCTTATTTAAATAATTTAAACTTTTTACTATTATTATTATTATATTTATCAAATGTATTGTTTTTTTTTGTGTCATTATATCTTATTTGTATTACTATTAATTATTATTTTCAATGGTTTTAATATGTTTCATATTTAAAATGCTTTGGCAATACTGTATTTAATGTCATGCCAATAAAGCAACTTGAACTGAACTGAACTGAACTGAGAGAGAGAGAGAGAGAGAGAGAGAGAGAGAGAGGGAGAGAGAGAGAGGGAGAGATAGAGAGAGAGAGAGAGAGAGAGAGAGAGAGAGAGAAAGAGAGGGAGAGAGAGAGAGAGAGAGAGAGAGAGGGAGAGAGAGAGAGGGAGAGAGAGAGAGGGAGAGATAGAGAATTGAATTTTCAACACGCCTTTAATAAACATTTTAAAGACGTTATACAATCAAATGTTACACATAAAAATTAGAAACAGCCTAATGAACCATAAACTCTAAATTTTCATCACAAATTTGACATAAAACTCCTTTGTAACACCAAATTTTTTCAAAACACATAAGATCACCCATTGTTTTGTAATACTGGAAATCAATTAAAATTCTGGATTTCACCAAATTAAAAAAATGTTTTTAAACAGCCACTTGAGTTTTGCTCAACTTGTATTTTTCTAGTGTCATAAATTGCCATTTTTGCTTGACCCAAAAGAAAATTTAATAACTGACAAAAAAAAACGTCGTTTACGTGTATACTTATAACCACAAATAAACGTTTCCATAGAAAATGTCTCGCCAAAACAAACAAACAAGTTAGATAAGACCTGAAAAAAGGAACTAAGCCTGTTACATAACATAAAAGCATGATATAGGGTTTCACGTTGAGAACAAAAAGGACATTCATCACTATTACCTGGATTTATAATTGAAACAAACGCATTCACAGCTATGGCACCATGCAAGATTCTCCATTGCAAATCCCCCACTTTTTTTGGTAAGGGGGGTTTATACAGAGCTCTCCACTCTGGTTTAGCATTCTCTTTTAAATGGAGAACAGAGCGCCATGGAGTATCAACCCTATCATTCAGTGACTTCCTATTTAGCAATTTCACACAACTATTATAAACATTTTTTCCAAACTCAGAATGAGAGAGAGAGAGGGAGAGAGAGAGAGAGAGCTGTGTCAGGGCTGAGCTCATTAATATTCATGACCACTCCAAATATGGTCCATAAGGACCTTTTTGGCCCGTTTCCGCTGAGTGGGCTGGTACGGTCAGCTTTATCAGGCTTGTGTTTCCACTGCCAAAAGGGAACCAATGGTCTGTTTCTAAGAGGATTGAATGTCAGAAGCGCTTCAATATATAATATATTATAATCACGCACACGTTATTATCATCAGCTCAAGAAGTTTGTTATTTCAAATACAAACGAGCGGTGAACGCACATGAGCTCTCTGGAAAAAGGGAAACCAATTACGCGTTAGACGGCCTCGTAAACAACTACAGGACAACAGGTTTATCTTCTGGGCTTTGTGGCTGCTCATCAAGATGACAAGTTTTGTCTGAGCTCGGGTCGACCATGGCTCATTATTATATGTATGTATTATTATGGTGTAGTGTCTCCGCTGTGTTTTTAATAATGATGCTTCCTTTGTTTTTGTTCTTCTAGCCTGTCCACGAGCTGCTGATGTATCTCATAAAACATAAAAACGTACCGAAGCACTCAGTGGAGTTGGGTCATTTGAGTCTAGGGGTATTTATGAAGGAAGAAATAAGCATTTACAGTGGTCCCTTGTTAATCACGGGAGGTATGTTCTAAGAATAACCTACAATTGGTGAAATCCATGAAGTAGTCTGCTTTTTAAGACTGTAAAGGCCATGTCCACTGAGTGGTACGGTATGATTTGATAAGCTTTTATACGTGTTTCCACTGTCAAAAGGTACCCAAAAGCGAACTGGACCATCCCACTTTTTGGTCATTCTTTGCAAGGGTTACCTAGCAGGACTCAAGGGTACTAACACTCACACGTTTCTCTCTTGCTTCATCAACATTATGGGGAGATTATAGTGATCAAAGTTTTATGTCAATTTGGCAAGCAGAACTCATTCTGTACTGTACGGGAGACGCAACACAGAGGAGATTGATTGACATGATCTACAGCCAATCAGGATGCAGAACACAAAGCTCTGTAAAAAACCACGTCAAATTGCACAAAAACATGTGCGAAACTGTGAAAGGTGAACCGTGTTATAGCGAGAGACCACTGTAAACCCATTACTGGACAGTTTTTAACTTCCCTAAGCCACATGCCTACTACACTATAATCCAGCTTGTAATTATAGTATATATTATAGTGTTTTGAACATGGATTGGGTTGATTATAGTTGCTGTAAATGCAGAGCAACTATAGAATTAAAATAGGCTTTTTATAATAGGCATATGAATCAAAAACACTACAGTACTGCTATAAATTACCATAGTATTGATTAATGTGGGAGTGGATACAGCTGATGTGTCACTGCTCTTTCATTTATTTTCTTTTTTTAATTGAACATTTTGATTGAAATACTACTTTACAACATGATCACAGAAGATACACAGCCAAAAAAGTGAAATTGATAACAAACAAGAGTTTAGCTCATGCTCATGCTCATGGTTTATTAGTAACAGTCAGCTCTATTAGATATGGCACATTGTGTTTTACAAAGGTGTGTTCAGTTTCTGTTTACATGTAAATCTGAATAAATAAACACATGTAATGCTCTTTATGACTTTAATTATCAACCGAAATACAAAAAAGCCAGATATAAACCTCAGTCAAAACACAAGATAACAGAATAAACAGTAGTTTGTCAGTCTCATTCAATAAGCATTATAAGCGCTGTGTCGTCAGCCAGTCGTTTCCCATCATGCTTATGGTGAGCGCAGTCAGTGGAGAGCAACTGCAGCCGACTCAATCCGACACATCCACTCAATATTACCCTGATCAATATGTTAGAGATAATGGTTAAACACTGAGACATTAGTACATGAAGATAAACATAGCCCACACACACACACACACACACACACACACACACACACACACACACACACACACACACACACACACACACACACACACACACACACACACACACACACACACAGCAATAACCCTGTCTTGTAGACAATAATCATATTGAGGTAGAGTGGGTTTTATATTCACACATTCAGACTTTCTCCTTCATATCATATAAGTGACCACCGACCACCAAAGTACAAGTTCACAGTCAAATAAACGCTGCTAGTTTTGTTTTGAAGTCATATTCACATCTGATTTCATACCGAATATTCAAAGTATCATGGTAAACACTATTGTCGAGTTCTTATGGGTTTCACACACAAGTATCTGCTTCTAACTCGAAAGAGCTTCAGCCAATAACAGGGGACACAGGGAACAACTCCAAGGCTTTTCAGCTTTTGTATTTTAACTTTCAGTTTGCCCAATAATACAATACTGTAGCGCTTGAACAGTAGTAGCGATACCAGTAGCAGCGATAGCAATAGGTTGATAACCTTAGAAAAGGAACAAAATATATAAAATATACATTATTCGCAATACTGACTTAAACAAACACAATGTAATATAAATAAAGACAGTTCCTTCACAAATTTTGTCTCAGCATTATTAATTTGCATATTAAAATAATACTTCTTAATATTAATGCAAGCATTTCACTTTACATAAACTATTTACATAAATGAACAGCATGATTAACTTAATATTGTGCACAAAGTATTATAATGCACAAAATAATGAACTACAGTGCAACAAAATAGCAGCTGTCTTTTATATTGCACATATATTATGAATAAGGCAATGCATGTGGCAGTCCTTTGTAATTAGAAAAAGTCAATTCTCATACCATCAGTGTCCCTGAGATGACCAAGTGCTGATGTGCCTTCCCTTCCTTACTCACTGCAGCTTAAACTTTCTGCATGCAATCGTGAAGGTTTATTAATGCAGCGATCGCGTTATTCAGCTTTCACAGCGCGTCTGCATGCATGCACTTGCCATGTGAGATTTTTTTCATTCCGCATTCACTCGGCACTTCCCGTATCTCCTCGGCACTTCCCGTATCTCCTCGGCAAGTTTCGTATCTCCTCGGCAAGCTCCGTCAGCCAATTGCTTCCGCCAAACACTTTCAGTTTCGTTAGTTCCGCCTAATTCCTCCATGCATTGATTCGTATGAAGTCCAAATTCGCGATTTGACTTTACAACTATTGACCTTATTCTAAAATGCGGAAGTGCGCCTGTTTTCGCGATTGTCTTAGAACTTCCGTTTCAGTCGCCTATGGGAGAAATGACAAGGAATAATAAACGGCAAAAAACGGTCAAACTACTTGCTCTACAAACAAATGTTTGCATGACTATACAGACCAAGTAGAATAATATAACAAGGAAATATCAGTTTGCAACATCAAACAGCGAAACGAGCAGTTTTTAATGTCTAAAAATGAATGGAAGTGAATGAGACCGGAAGTCTCAAGCTAAAAAGATTCAAATGGCGGCGCCCGCTCGTCTGCGGAGAATAAGGTCAACAGGGAGCGTCACAAGTCATTGAACGAATGTGTGAATATAAAGCCAACTTTCCCTCAGTAATAATCATATGATGATGATGATGTGTAATGAGCACCGTCAGGACTCATACCTGCTTCCAGTAGAGTAACTGTTACCCATGATGGATGTGTAGAGTGTGATGTCCAGCAGAAACTCTAGCAGACACTGAGAAACCGGTGTGCAGGAATAGATCAGCAGCTGTACACACTCACATCACGAGCTTCAGTAAACTAATGAAGGATTACAGCCATCAACACACATCATACATACCGCCTCAGATAAACCCCACACGCGTCCTTGAGTTCTTCCAGCACCGTTACATTAACAGATTTAAAGGTTTTCGCTTTGCAGATGACAGACTCTGTGTCTAAAATGGCGACGTTAGCCCTTTCCTTTAAGAGGACCTGTGAAAAACAACACGGGTTGCCAGATCCCTGAAACCCCCTCCCCATTGCAAGCACACTCCTAACACTGTCTTCTGTGGGTGTTGAGAGGAGTCAGAGCCCCGGTGTCAACACGTCTGGTCACCCTTCTTATTGTCCTACATCTGGATAATGATTAAAACTTTATTTTTCTATAAATAAGTGTTTAGTGATGTTTAATAAACATCAACAGCACAGAGGAACAACATGGAAAGAGGAGTGAACCGTGACGCACCAGTGTTGCTAGTTTACAAGTCCATGAGGATCCACAACGAATAATTTACAAAGAAATTAATTACAATATATATATATATCTATACACACCAATATCTGCTTATAACCACTTTAATAACTTTTAAATAACACAAGCCTACAGACGGGTATAAACAGTGGACATGGCAACACTGCAGGCGCGCACACACACACACACACATATAGCATGACCATCTGTTGCCGGCGTCACTCGCGTATTTTGGGTTTCAATGATGAGCCAAAAAATAAGCCCAGAGCAGCATTTAAACACAGCACAGGCCTTGTTCAGTTCAGCAGAGCAGGCTGATGGAGGAATATTCTGCAGATATTCATGAGTTTAGTGTCTGTGCTGTCCTGTAAACTAATGTAGAAGATACAGAGATATCACACAGTTTGACTTTACTGAATTAAACTGTGAACATCTTTACCCAAACCAGCGGCGTCTCTGAACAACATAGAGAAGAGTTCACGATCACAACACCAGAGTCAGAGATCATATATCAGACACATGTGTTCTGCTTACTGTGGTCAGATTTACTCCACTGGTTTTACTGATACACAACTATTAATGCTACATTTACTCCATTAATTACACTCGACTGTGTAACTTATATTGTTCCTTACCTTTGCTAATAAATAAAAACATTTCCATATTGAATGTCGGTTCATCAAATGTTTGAGAAGTAACCCAACAATACAGAGTTAGATCATGCAGACATTATTTCTTTAATATTGTCAGTCTGCATTAGTTTATAATGGAACATGTGAATGTAAACGCAGCAGAGTCAGATGTGGAAGTGAGAGTAATGTAGTCTGTCAGCGGTGGGAGAACAGTATCAGTGTTCTGGACTCTACACACATCTGTTATCATCAGTCAACACTGACATCTGCTGCTGCATCTCTGTAACTCTGTGTAGTGATCAGGCTTTCTACTGTTACTGTCCACTAGATGGCAGTAGAGTAAACATGCAGATGCTGTATTGACCTTATTGTAAAATGCGGAAGTGTGCCTGTTTTCGCGATTGTCTTAGAACTTCCGATTCAGTCGCCTATGGGAGAAATAACTAGGAATAATAAACGGCAGAAAACAGTCAAACTACTCGCTCTACAAACAAATGTTTGCATGACTACACAGACCAGGTAGAATAATATAACAAGAAAATATCAAATTGCAACATTAAGCAGCGTGATGAGCAGTTTTTAACGTCAAAAAATGAATGGAAGTGAATGTGACCGGAAGTCTCAAGCCAAAAAGATTCAAATGGCAGCGCCCGCTCGTCTGCGGAGAAGAAGGTGAATAGAGCTTTTTCATGGCTGCTGCATGGAGGGCGCCATAGTGACCAGCGTCTTCCGGTAGAATGCTAAAAACTTCCGTTCACAGTGTGTACAACTGGTAATTTGCGCTCTGAAAATGGGTTTCAATAACGTTTTTAATGGATAACAGAGTGTTTTTGTGACACACAACTTAGAAATGTGTCTGTTAAAGCCATTATAATCTGTCACGTGTGGTTCAAGCGCGTCAGAAATACGAGAAAAATGTTCTCCTAGTTCACGTGTCTGCCGTCAGAAATACAGTGTGTGTGTGTGTGTGTGTGTGTGATCCCGGCCTGTCAGCTGTTAGCTCAGCGGAGAGAGCAAACCAGAGTTCTGGCATGAAACTTAACAGGTATGAAAGTCGTGCAATTTACAAAAATGATCAATAAAAGTCTGTTATTGATTCTCTGCTGCTGATTTGCTGTTCATTCTAATCGTGAGCCGTTTGTGTTTTATTTCGTGTGTTGTTTTCACCACGGTTTGTGTTTTTCTGTCATTTGGAAATGACACTAGCCTATATTTTCACTTTGTCACAGTTATTAAATCAGTGTGTCAGTGGCACAGTACAGGCTACGTGTGTGTGTCAAACATTTTGCTGAACTACATTAGTTTGGGCTGGTTATATATGTGAAATAAAGAGAAAATGTTGACTTTAGCGATGACGAGGCTTCATTTAAACTGCAGAAGATGCCGTCTGACACAGAGGGGGAAACGCCTCACAGCAGCTGTTCTCCATCCTATTTGATCACATTTCTGTAAATGATCAGTCCAGGAGATGCTGCTGATGGACAACAGGATTAGATAAAGAGGATAAAAGCAGGTAAAATAGATTAAAACTATCATTTCAAAGCTGTCCAAATGTGACTGTTTACACCATCAGCTGCCGACCGGAAGTTCTTCTTGCGCATACACGCAAAGCATCATGGGTAATTTTGCGTTCCAAGAAAAAGGTCTATAGTCAGGTGTGTGTGTGTGTGTGTGTGTGTGTGTGTGCAGATGATCTACCTGAGAGCAGGTGGTGTGTGTTCACTACTAAATGCTGCTGGTGGATCTATAGACGCGTCACTCTTCAGAGACACACAGCTGGCCTCTGCTTCTGCTCTCCTCCTCTCATGTGAGCTGAAACAGAGGAGATTAGAGTTCAGCGCTGCACACATACTGATTTTGTGTATTCACTCTCAAGTGTTTTTCACAATCATGGAGACCACTTCCCCCAACTCATAACCGAAAGCTTGTCTGTCAGGTGTTAATGGGCATCATTGTGCTTTAACCGAAAAAAAAACAGAAATGAAAACACTGCATGGACAGAAAATAGCCTAACAGCATCAATGCTACTACTACTAATAATATTTCCTAGTGATGGATTGCAGTTGAAAATGCATCCGCTGCGTAAAACATATGCTGGATAAGTTGACGGTTCATTCCACTGTGGTGGTTACAGACTAATAAAGAGACTAAGCCGAAAAGAAAATGAATGACCGAATGAATGAATAAATGATTAATAATAATAAAATGAAAATAAGGTAATAATCTTTCCACACAGATGCCGCACAAGCGGTCTTTTTATTTTTAGAGATGGAACATTTGAATTTCCTCTGCCCACATCCCCCAGCTCAAACCTGAAAGTTGCAGAGAGAACTATTTACACCTAGGACAGAGTTTAGCGGAAAGAAGATCGAATGTCACATCAGAATCACACAGATAAAGCAGCGCACCATTGCACCATGATCAAACTATTAAAATGGTGACAACTGAAGCAACCAAATTACACATTACTGCACTGAATTCACTACATTAATCGTCTATAAGCATGAGCCATTCGTGGACTGATGCGCTTTTATAAACATGCAGATTTGAAATATCTACGCTTAGCCTATTTGTTTCCCCTTCAATCATTTTCAATCATTGGTGTAAATGCGACAGTTTAATACAGTTTACAGTGAAGTTGTCTGAAAGGGTGACAGGACGTCATGTGTTTGGCTCGTGTTGTGCATGTTTGAAAATAACTGTGAGGTGAAGGGCGGCGACGCAGTGGCGCAGCAGGAAGTGCTTTCACCTCACAGCAAGAAGGTCTGTGTGGAATTCGTATGTTCTCCCTGCGGTCGCGTGGGTTTCCTCTGTGTTAATGGTACACTGCATTGTGCTTTAACTGGGGAAAAAACAACAACCCGAAAACACTGAATTGGATCACAAGGGTTGCTGCAGAAAATAGCCTAATAATACTAACAAAATATTAATAATAATAATAATTCCCAGTGATGGGTTGCAGCTGGAAGGGCATCCGCTGCGTAAAACATATGAATTAATGAAAACTTAATGAAAGAATAATAATAGTAATTTTAAAATATAATAATCTACACACAGATGCCACGCAAGCGGCTACTATTTTACAGGAGATACACTTGAACTGCTGCTGCCGCCTTCCTCCACCTCAAACATAAAAGTTGCAGAGCGAACACCTTGATGCCTCAATAGCAAAACATCATAGCCCATGTACACCTCAAGAAGACAGTGCAAGTTTAGCGGAAGAATGTTGGTCAGACACACAGTCGACAGCGCCCTCTGCTGGGTTTAGGTGAGAACAGTGGGCGCAAACGGCACTCTTGAGAGGTTTTTGAGATATGAAAAAGCGCACAGCGACCTCTCGCGGACTCACCAAAACAAAAACTGCAAACATACTCACCTCCCGGGATGAACTTCACAGTCTCCAGAAACATCCACCGCGGCACAACAGTGACAATACATTTATACAAGCTGCAGGAAACAAAGGAGCTTGATAAATCTTTCTTGTGGATCTGATTACACTACAGAGACATGTTAATACGCTCCTGTCAGTCAATCTGGTGGGCGGGTAAAACTGTGGACACACTATACTGCACACACTCCTGCCCGAACAGCTGACAGAGGAGGATGTTCATCATAGGAGCTAAGGACACAGAGCTGTGTGGACAGCCAGCCTCTTCTGCCATCAGCTTTTGTGTCAAGGTGTCTCTGGTGGTGTGTGGGATCAGCGCAGGTCTTCCTCATGACTGTGTGTCCTCCAGAACTCGACTGAGAGCATGTGAAGACTCTTGCAGTTGATTATCTGATCAGAGTGTGTCTCCAGAGCTCTTCAATACTGAACCCTTCACAATATTCTCACTCTCTCACTCACTCAGTTTGGGGGTTCATTATTTGTCATCAAAATCATCAACATGACAGAAATAAACACTTGAACTCTAGAGAGGCCTGTGTCCAGCGTTTACAGCCACTGGAGAACTGAAGAGCCCTGCAGACATGTGGAGGATGTCGTCTGTACCGCTGCCACTGTGCAGCTCCACTGAGCTGATCTGCCCTCTGGTAGAAACAGCTAGAGGAACAGCTAATGTGCACTCGTGTGTGTGTGTGTGTGTGTGTGGTCCTCAAACTGAAAGAGTTGTACACCAGGAGGAAAC